AAAAGGATTTCCTTCGCTTCGGAAGTTGGAAAACTGATTGCCTGTTGTGTCCCCCAAAGTTAAAATCAACTTTATTGCCTTGGAATCTTTAACCCAGTGTTTCTTAACTTTGGCAGTTTGAAGATGTGTGGACTTCAACTCCCAGAATTCCCCAGCCAGCTATGAAGGCTGGGAATTCTGGGAGTTGAAGTTCACAAACCTTCAAATTGCCAAGATTGAGAAACATTGCTTTAAATCAGTGGTTCTCCACCTGGGGGTCGGGACCCCATTTGGGGTCGAATGACTATTTCATGGGGGTCGCCAAACAATGCAGTCCGCCATTTTTCCCCCCCTTTTCCTTAGCTGTGCTACTCCCTTTTATTCTATTGGCTTTTGAAAACCAATAGAATAGACTCTCTTGTCCAGGCTGTCTCTGCCCTGCTGAACCTGCCAAAAATCCCAGTCTGCAAACGGTGCTGCACCCGTTGAGTAGTCCTCGACTTACGACCGGTTGGGGGTCGCGGCATTGAAAAGGTTGAGAACCACTGCTTTAAACCAACTTTATTGCAGCTGGAAATCCTGTTTTTCTAGCTCCAAAATCCACCAAATGTGGTCCTTTGCTGCCCTCTAGTGGTGTAGGAATGGAAGCACACCCCTTTCCCCCATCGTTGCCCCCTGGTTAATGGCGATAACGCGAAAGATTCCATTTATTTTCTGAATTCTTTTCTTTTGGTTGTCATTTTCTCAGAGGTTGGGCTGGCACCCCCCCCCCCATCCAGAACTTTCAGGCGGATAATGGAAAGCACTCTTTAAAATCTTAATTTGCCTTGGTTGTCCATCAGCCGGAAACTGACAATCTTCTGAACTTCGTGGCAAAAGAAAGAGTCAACAACACCATCCCACAGAGTGCCAGCGGAGCAAAGAGAAGCCCTGTCTGTCTGCCCCGTCTTCAAATATCTTCTAGATGGCAAGATAAGTTCTGACGCACAAAGGCCAGCTGGAGGAGACGAGTAGAGTTTCCAAAGCTTGTGGTGAGGTTCTTAACCCACGTTGGGCAGCAAATTGGATGCAGTTGGATGACCACGAGCTGGTGTTTTTTTTCTCTGGCTCCCCTTCAGGACCAGATTTATCATGAAATGTCATTTTGGCCTTTTCTCTGTTTCTCTCCCTCTCCCCCCCCCCCTCTCTCTCCCCACATGCCCTGACTGGGCTTCAGACAATGGTCACAAGATGGTAATCAAATTTCATCCTCTCTTCTCACTTGACCTTTTTGTGTCAATGGAGTCAAGGATCCTTCCCACCACATGAACACCCTTCGCAAATGGATCCAGAACGACACACTTAGGGGTCCTTCCCCCCCCCTCCTCTATACCATCTGGAGCTTCCAGGTGGCTGCTTTGACAGAAGACCTTTCTCTCCTCAGATATCGGTGGTCTTCTCCCTCAAAGAATGCAAATCGTTTTGGGGTGGTTCTCCATCCAATTTGCACATTCGACTCCTCCGGAATAAGTTGTGTAACAGCTTTACAACTGTTACACAATTTATTCTCCTTTAGGTTTCCTCCTACACGTGGCCTTTTTCCAAAGAACATTTTTTATCGTTCCTTAACATTGGGGATAATAATAATAGTAATAATAATAATAATAAGTTGGAAGGGACCTTGGAGGTCATCTAGTCCAACCCCCTGCCCAGGGAGGAAACCCTATACCATTCCGGACAAATGGCTGTCCAGTCTCTTCTTAAAAATTTCCAGTGTTGGAGCATTCACCGCTTCTGGAGGCAGGTTGTTCCACTGACTAATTGTTTTAACTGTCAGGAAGTTTCTCCTTAGTTCTAGCTTGCTTCTCTCCTTGATTTAGTTTCCATCCATTGCTTCTTGTCCTGCCTTCAGGCGCTTTGGAGAAGAGCTTGACTCCCTCTTCTTTGGGGCAGCCCCTGAGATACTGGAACATGGCTATCCTGTCCCCCTCGTCCTTCATTAAACTAGACATACCCAATTCCAGCAATGTTTTAGCCTCCAGTCCCCTGATCATCTTTGTTGCTCTTCTCTGTACTCTTTCTAGAGTCTCAACATCTGTTTTACATCGTGGTGACCAAAACTGGATGCAGCATTCCAAGTGTGGCTTTACCAAGGCCTTGTAAAGTGGTATTAACACTTCATGTGATCTTGATTCTATCCCTCTGTTAATGCAGCCCAGCACTGTGTGGGCTTTTTTGGCAGCTGCAGCACATGGCTGGCTCATATTTAAGTGATTGTCCACTAGGACTCTGAGATCCCTCTCACAATTGCTACTACTGAGCCAGGTATCACCTATATTATACCTGCGCATTTGGTTTTTCTTGCCTAATGTAGCATAGCATAGCATAGCATAGCATAGAATAGAATAGAAATTGAAGGGATTGGTTATCCAATCTCTTCTTAAAATCTTCCAGTGATCCTTCAAACATGTCCACAACTCCTAGATAGATTCTTGGAGTTGTTAAAACACAGAATAAAGTTGGACACTACTAAAACAGACACCAAAAATATTTAGTGTTGACTAGGGCTACTGGATCTAGTAAACCTGGATTTTTTTTCTAGTTTAACCAAAACTGCAAATCAACTAGCACCTGGAAAGAGCCTCCGAGCATGTTATGAGAGTAGGAATTACGAAAAGGAAACTTTTTGTATGGATGGGGCTTTGCTTGTTTGTGTGGACCGGTCGCTGGCATGCCACGGCCTGGGCCCAGTCCACGGACCGGGGGTTGGGGACCCCTGCGATAGTTGGACAGTTGACACCCATGCCTCCATTCTATTCTTCACTTGATCTTTCTGGTAGGCCAGTTTGGTCTCTCCAGCAGTCACAAGTCTTCTTGGCATGCTAACTTCGGTGCCTCTTCTTCATTATCCTCAGTTTATTCGTTCAATGCCCTTTTTTTCCTTCTTCAACCATCTGATGTACTTGCAACGTTCCATGCCTGCTGATTTTCCTTGGTAAGTAGAGCCTGTCAGCCTCCCTCCAAGAATGTCATAATTTTTCTAGTTTTCCTATCCAGGGTTTTTAGCTCCGCTTGAGTGCAACCCACTATTCCATCTATGCGACTAATTGCCGAAATTGTCCAAATGTTAATGGCCTTGACGATATTTCCACCACTGAGTTTGGACAACCCTAAGATCTAACTCACTCTTCTGATGCATTCATGGCTAACTTTATTCTCGACATGCTTGATGTCGTCAGGCTGAAGGATGTCCAGGTATTACCAATAGTATTAATTATTAATAATACCCGATGGAGGGCCGAGTCTGGCCTAAACATCTGGCTGACAAGTGCGAAGAGCCATAATAATAATTTTTATTAAACTTCTATGTCACAACCCCCAGGGGCTCTAGGCAGTTATCAGAAGAATGCATGCAAAAGCCACACAAACTTCGTAAGTCCAGAAAAAAAGAAATATTGTTATTTTAGTTGCAAGTTAAAGTAGTATGGGAACCAGAGGGAACAGACATCTTTCTGAAGAAATATTTGGCCAGATGGACAGAGAATAAGGTTGCGTCTGCTAGAAGACAAGCAGACAGTGGCCACAGGTTCCTTCATTTGAACAACCTCTCAAATATGTCAACCTTATTGTTGAATTATTCAAGTTAACCTCTCAAATAAATCCACGGGGCTTCCTTTAACAGACATGGTCAGCCATTTGATCCCATGTGGCTAACTCCAAAAAAGAGCATTGTTTAAAAATATATATATATATACACACGCACGCACACAGACACACATACGCATATATCCACCCGGAATAGCATGACTTTCATAAAAGGAAAACTTGTGTAGACTAGAAAAAGGCAGAAGGACTATCAGTGGCTGTTTTCCTGGCTCCATTATTTGAGAAGGGAACTCGTGACGTGAAAGGAGGGTTAAGAAACACCAACATCAAAAGGGATACCAGTCCAGAGAAACTGGAAAGGAGCAGATAAATTGGTTGAGTCCAGCCTTCTGCTCCAACCATCTCAGCTGTTGGGTACACTGGTTCTGTTTTCTTCCTTTAACTACACAACCCCCTGGGGGGGGGGAGGAGATTGGCCATAAATTACCATGCTGCCTGCTGAACAAACAAACCTTGTGTGTTGTACTCTGAGCAGAAGGGTTTGACTGGCAGAGCAACCCCGAGGAAAGAAACCTTCCAAGGCAGATTTGGAATTTGCTCCCAGTCCAAGGAAGACAGAAGGAAGTCATCCTCTTGTGCACAACACATGGACACAGGAAGATCTGTCTTCCCGCTGTAAGATAGCCTCAGTGTTGGATTACAAAGCCTGTTTTATAACAATTCCTTAAATGGGGGATTGGCACGCAGCAGCGGATGCATCTCAAGCGAGGCAGTGACCGTGGCTGGCTTTGATGTTGAGTTGACGGTAAAGATGGAGGCCATTTCTACGTAACCTCATGCACTTAAGTAACTGTAGATCCTTGCTTACGTGGAAGAGAACCTAACCTATGTTTGTTGAGCTTGGCAGCACTCACTGCTATAGGACGTTCTTCTACTCAACTTCTTGAGAAGGCAACCTTGGATGTCCACGTCAAACTCCATGTTTGTAGATCATCTTTAGGATTCAGGATTAGGATCCAAGTCTCTTGACATGGCTAGTTCACATCTGGTGCCATCTTATAGTGAAAAGGCTGAAATAGATCTTCTGGGATCAGATGACATCAAGATGGATCAGTCTTCTATTGATGCTCTTTTGGATCACTCTTCTATTGATGCTCTCGAATAAATACAACTGGCACATGGATCAGTCTTCCAGAGGTTGACGACAGCTGGCATGTGGATCACTCTTCCCAATGCTCTTATATACAGCTGTCATCTCACCTGTGTTGACTACACTGATTGGGACTGTTGGCCAAGGTGACTGGCGATTTGGTGGGGGTTGAACCTCGAAAGACCCGGTGGGACATTTTCTGAGGGATGGTATGGGTATGACTTCAAAGGAAGGACTGTGATGTTTACCAATTCAGACAGAAACACCGGCAAGCTAGTCATCTTACCTTCTGATTCTTGGATGGGCTTCAGAGTTGGGTTCTCCGTGGAAGGTCCTCAGGCTCCTGACAGATTTAGCACCTGGATCTCACCTGCTGGCTAACTCATGGTCATGCCCAAGTCATGAAGAAGGGAGAAAGCCATCTCCTTGCCTGCAAACCTAGAGAGAGATATTAGATGATTTAGTTAAGCTGGACAGACAAATTATCTCAACCCAGAGCATCTTGACTGGAAGAAGCCAGATGATCGTAGAACAGGGAGTCTGACAAGAAATGCAACAAACACCTCTATCTATTGGGATGGAAGAATGATTGATATTACAGTCAGGCTTTCAATGTCTTCTAAGCCAACTTCAAACAGTGTGGTGTAGTGGTTAAAGTGCTGGACTAGTTCAGGGAAGCCCAAATCTGGCTCAATAGAGAGGGAAAGCTGCTTACATCACCTTAACATATAAAATGATACATATATAAATAAAACATATAAACCCTAAAAGAGCAACCTCATAGTGCTATTACCAACCAGAAACACTGTTCCTTTATTATTGGTTTATTATGGATCCTGTCAAGACAGAGGATCCAGCTAGGGGAAAAAAATGATTCCCAATGGATATCCTCAAGGTGCTTTTTCAAAAAGCCAACTGGAATTTCTTGATTTTTTTTCCTTGAAAATGTTTCACTTCTCATCCAAGAAGCTTCTTCAGACTCTCAACAGAGCTCCTAAGTTATGGGAACATCGCTGTTGTTGTTCAGTCCTTAAGTTGTGTCTGACTTTTTGTGACCCCACTATCCTCCAGTATCTTCCTGAGTTTGCTTGCCCAAATTCACGTTCATTGCGTTGATGACACTGGCTAACCATCTGATCCTCTGCCGTCTCCTTCTCCTTTGGCCTTCCCTCTTTCCCAACATCAGGATCTTCTCCAGGGAATCGTGTCTATGGAGATTCTCAGTCATCCAGGTCATGGTTGTCCTAGAGGTGTCTGCAAGGAGTATCAATCCTGCCATTCCCCACCATCCAGTCAGAGCTGAGGAAGCTTCTTGGAGGAGAAGCGAACACAAGAAAGTCCAGTTGCCTCGTGAAAAAAAGCACCTTTAAGATCTCCAAGGAACCTTTTCTTCTCATTTGGTGGCCCAAGTATTTGAGTTTAGGCTTCAGGATCTGTCCTTCTAAAGAACTATCAGGGTTGGTTTCCTTCAGGATTCACTGATTTGATCTCCTTGAAGTCCAACACCACAATTTGAAAAGCATCAATAAAACCCCCCCTTTTTTTTCTTTGATCTTGGGCCTTGAATGACTTACGAATAATGGCTGGTTGCTTTTATCCTGGTTTTAGTCTGTGTTTTGGAGAATTGATGGCAAAGGCCAAGCCATCAGGGGTCAGCAGGCCAATAGCTCCTGTAACTTCAGCTGTTAAATAAATCAGGTCTATCTATTCCCTGGAAGCTTCTCAGCCCTCAAAGGTCTTCTGGCCCAGCTTCCTCCACCGTTAGTTGAGGAGAGTGGGTGCTTTTTTTGAACTTTTGGGTTGGCACTGCAAGAGGAATGAAGCGGATTAAACTAGAAAAGATAGGCGCCAGGCACAGCCCATTCCCCTTCAAAACATGTGACCAAGTCTATTTGTTCAGATAGACTCATTATTGTAGAGTTTTAGTCACGGAGGAAACTTCTAACAGTAATTAGACACATGATAGAAAGATGTTAAACTTTGTCTTCAAAGATCTCCCTTCAACAGAGCGCTCTGGTTTGCAAGGCGGCGAGCCAAGGGGCCGAGCTGAAAGTTGTTCTTGTTGTCCTCTCCGTTTTTTCCCTTTAAAAATAACTTGTTTGAACCCCAAAGAAAAATAGCATAAAATACCAAAGGCCGGCCCCAGCCTTAGATAACTCTACGGGCCAAAATTGGAACAAAGCACAGAAAAATCAGAACATCTCGAAGAAGTACATCCTCTAAGGCAAGGGTCTTCAAACTTGGCCCTCTTATGACTTGTGGACTTCAGCTCCCAGAATCCCTCAGCCAGGTGTGCCTGGCCGAGGGATTCTGGGAGTTGAAGTCCACAAGTCCTAAAAGGGCCTAGTTTGAAGATCCCTGCTCTAAGGGTTTGGGGAGGCCTTCGTGCTCCAGATAAAGCGGAAAGTGGAGCAAGAGGGAGGAAAGGTTATTTGGGGTGAATTAGGAAGCTCTGCTTTTTGGTGCCAAATGGTTTCTGGTTATCAGTGATGAGGGAGGAAGCACTGAGGTAAATTGAAATATTTGTGTGCGTGGGGGGGGGGGTTGGAAAGAAGAGGAGGGAGAAGGAGGGAACCTGGTGCCTCCTGATTGGTGGCCTGCTTTTTTAGCTGTTCACTAACCCTGATTAGCTAGTCCAGGGGTAGGTAATCTTGGCCCTTTTATGACTGGTGGACTTCAGCTCCCAGAATTCCTGAGCCAGCCATGCTGAGGGGAAAGGGAGAGGTTTCCAAGCTCAGCCATGCTGGCTCAGGAATTCTGGGAGTTGGAGTCCACCAGTCATAAAGCGGCCTAGGCCTAGGCCAGAGGTAGGTAACCTTGGCTCTTTTATGACTGGTGGACTTCAACTCCCAGAATTCCTGAGCCAGCATGGGGGAACTATGGCCCCTTCATGACTCATGGACTTCAACTCCCAGAATTCCTGGGCCAGCCATGCTGAGGGGAAAGGGAGAGGTTTCCAAGCTGAGCCATGCTGGCTCAGGAATTCTGGGAGTTGAAGTCCACGAGTCATAAAAGAGCCAAGGTGGCCTACCCCTGGGCTAGGCCAAGGCCTGACTTCATCCCTGTCTGGAAGGCTTCTCCAAAGCTGGAGACGAAATCAAGATCTATTCTGAGGGCCCGGGTCGACCTACGATCACAACTGAGCCCCAAATTTATGCCGCTAAGCGAGACATCTCTTAAGTGACTTTTGCCCCATTTTATGACCTTTCTCGTTAAGTGAATTGTTGTAGTTGTTAAATGAGCAACACGGTTGTTAAGTGAATCTGGCTTCCCCCACTGACTTTGCTTGTCAGAAGGTCACAAAAGGGGATCGTGTGAACACGGGACACTGCAAACTGTCATAAGTACATGCCAGCTGCCAAGCCTCTGAATACTGATCACGTATCCAGGAGGAGGCTGCAGCAGTTATAAGTGTGAAAATCAGTCATAAGTCATTTTTTCCCGTGCTGTGGTAACTTTGAACAGACACTAAACGAGCTGTTATAAATTGAGGACCTGTATCTATATCTACATTTACCTGTATCTATATCTACATCTATGTCTACAGTATATCTATATCCATCTGTCAATCATTTCTATTATCTATAATCTATCCATCCATCCACCTACATATCCACTCATCTATCTACCATCATCTATCTATCTATCTATCTATCTATCTATCTATCTATCTATCTATCTATCTATCTATCTATCCATCCATCCATCCTTCCCTCCCTCCCTCCCTCCCTCCCTCCCTCTCATCTACCTATCTATCCATCTATCCGTCCATCCACCCACCCATCCAGCCAGCCATCCACCTATCCATCCATCCATCCATCCACCTTTGTCCATCCGTCCGTCCACCCACCCATCCATCCATCCATCCATCCATCCATCCATCCATCCACTCACCCACCATTCATCCACTCACCCATCTATCCACTCCACCCACCCATCCATCTACCTACTCACCCACCCACCCACCCATCCATTCACCCACCCACCCACCCACCCACTCATTCACCCACCCACCCACCCACCTGTCTGTCCATCTGTCCACCTATCCACCCACCTACCCATCTACTCACCCAGCTATTCATCCACCCATCCACCCACCCACCCATCCACTCACCCACCCACCCACCCATCCACCTGTCTGTCCATCTGTCCACCTACCCATCCACTCACCCAGCTATTCATCCACTCACCCACCCATCCATCCACCCACCCGTCTTTCTGTCCATCTGTCCACCTATCCACGCACTTACCCATCCACTCACCCAGCTATTCATCCACCCATCCATCCAAATTTTTGCTCATCATTTTTTAGGAGTTGATTCCATGTTCGAGGACTAGGATGGAGGAATTCTCCTCTTTCATACTCGATTAGAAATGATACAGGCTTCCATTTTATTAATGTTATGTTTTCCTTATGCCTTATGCCCCAACCTGAATTAGGTTTCAGTTTTGTTCCCAAAGGAAGCTGTTATGAATACAAGCCAATCATTTTCCTCCTTCTCATGCAGAAGGAATTTTCTGTCCATCTAGAGGAGAAGAAGATGATTTTTCTGGCCACAATCTTCTCTTCAACACCAACCAATTCATCTGAATTCTTTCAATAAAAGAAACCATTTTAATACACCGTGAACCTCTAGCCAAGGGAGCCTGAATAAGACCGCTGTATTCTTTTATGACATGCCTTGGCAAATATACAAATTTCAGCATTTATGCAAACATTAAAAAAAAATATTTATAATTCTTCTTACCAAAACTGTCTCCGTCAGACATCAGAATATCGGCTGTAAAAATCTCCCCAAGGAATCTCACAATAAGATCTAGCTCATGGGTGGTTGACATTCTCTACTCCAGTGGTTCTCAACCTTTTTAATGCCGCGACCCCCAACCGGTCGTAAGTCGAGGACTACTCAACCGGTCGTAAGTTGAGGACTACTCAACTGGGGCAGCACCGTTTGCAGAATGGGACTTTTGGCAGGCTCAGCAGGGCAGAGACAGCCTGGACAATTCCTATTGGCTTTTGAAAGCCAATAGAATTAGACTCTATTCAAGAGAGTCTGTTCTATTGGCTTTCAAAAGCCAATAGAATAAAAGGGAGGAGCACAGCTAAGGAAAAGGGGGGGAAAAATGGCAGACTGCGTTGTTTGGCGACCCCCGTGAAATGGTCGTTCGACCCCAAATGGGGTCCTGAGAACCACTGCTCTACTCTGTCTATTAGGTTGAGAGACGAGAAGGGGAATAAAATTATTGGGAAGTATCCCTGGGCTTCAATTAGAGAGAACTTTGCACAGATAATCAGAAGATAAGATGCTAGGGTAAAACGGTTTTCAAAAGCTGGCACATTCGGTGCCAGAATGTACACAAGAATAAGGACACAATTATGAGAATTTTTTTTTTAAAAAAAAACCTCTAGTTAATGTAAGACTTGGGTAACAATGGGAAAATGAGGAACTCAAACATCCAAGTTCTACAAAAATGGGAAACAGAGAAATTAAACTAGGCAGACTCACCTGTACGTATTATAGGAAACAGTTAAAGATCACCAGGATCGCTTACAAACAGAATTTATTACAGCCTGTCCATTATGGCTGTTAAGTTGTGACAGTCACAAAGCAGGTCACCCACCTGATTGACTTGGTTTTATGTCCCTTTTTGTGGCGGTCGTAAAACAAAACACCACTGCAGCTGTTAAGCGAGCCCTTTGGAAACAAATCATAGGAACCCCTGGGGATGTTTGCGTAACTTTGAACTGTACTTGGGTGGATTTGAATCTATGCCACTGAGTTCTGCAAGCATCAAGATGACGATGGGGTGCTTCTTTTGAGTTTTATTTATTTTATTTATTTTTAAAGGCAAACAGATAGGAAAAAAAAAGAACATAAGCATTTAAAAATGCAGGTACATGATGGACGCTTGCAAGGGGACCTTCTCCTTTCAGTCTGGGGGACCCAAAAGGTAAAACTTGCAAGGGATGAGTAAAAAAAAAAATAATAATTCCTTTTTATCAGGGCTTTTGATCTGCCCTGTTACCGCTGCGTTTTCCTAGAGTGTTTATCTTTATTTCATTCAAAAGAACGTCAGTATTCTTTTGTTTTCTTTCCTAAAAAAAAAAAAAAGGGTGGATGCTGTCTTTTACTTCGTGCTGATGTGAAGAGGAAAAAGAACAGATAAGCAAGAAACGATGGCGCTTTTGATTTGTCCTCCTTTTCCACATGTAATTTTTATTTCAAGTGTTTCCACAATCGGAGAGAAAGGAAACGCTATTTTCCCCGATATGTGCACTTCAGCATGTATTTTATATCTATCAAAAGACGGCATTTCCTACGGATAAATATTTAAATGCAACTTTTGATCGGTATAAAGTACGCTGCAGCATTTTAAGAAGTGGGTTCTCCAGACGGTAGATAAATGTTTGAGCTGCTTGTTGTCTTAAAATGTTGACTATTTTCCTCAAAAGGTATGTAAATAAATAAATTAAACCTCCCAGGTCATGGTCAACTAAGAAAAAGAACAATATGGAAACAGATTTGGCCAAGGCCTTTAATCCTGATAGGGTCCAAAAAGGGATATATTTCCTTTTGGTTGTGTTTTTATAGGTAGTCCTTGTTTAATGACGGTTTGTTTAGTGACCATTTACACTTAGGACAGTGATTTAAAAAAGCAACTTGGCCACCAATCCTTGCAGAGTCTCTTTGCAAAGTGAGAGGAGCAGCGTATGAATTTAATGAATAAATCAAATGAAATTTGCAGATCTGTAAAACAACGGAAAGCTGAAGTGAGATCATAAACCCAGTTGTGGTTTCACTTAGTGACCGAGTTACGGCTGCTAAACGAGGACTACCTATATTACAGAATGGCCTGTCCCTTCTTTGTTCAATCTCAAATAACATTACCAAGTTTAGAGAATAATGATCGATACCAGTGATGGCAAACCTTTTAGAGACTGAGTGCCCAAACTGTAACCCCAAACCCACTTATGCATCGTTGCGTGCCAGGTGGGTGTGGCCCATTGGGTGGGCGTGGCTGCGGTGGTAACGGCCGACTGGGTGGGACTAAAACGTTCAATCAATCAATCAATTCCAACTTTGCAAGATCTTTTTTTCCCCGCGAGAAGTTGAAATTGACTGATTGAACCTTTTTTTGGTTTTTTTGTACATGGTGGCAGAGGCCTAAAGCCAAAAGATTTTATAAAACCCAGCTGAAGGCCTAGGATGGGACGACGGCGTGCGTGCCCACAGAGAGGGCTCTGAGTGCCGCCTTTGGCACCCGTGCCATAGGTTCGCCACCACTGATCTATACACACCATAAAATTATAAGCAGGGGAAGGACTAGAAGACCTTCAAAGTCCCTTCCAACTCTGTTATTTTGTTATTCCGTTTTGACCTTTTGGGTCATTATAAATCTTCAGGTCCAGAGTCATTTCTTGAGATTGATGGCTATAAAAATCAATCAATCAATCAATCAATCAGTCCGTCCGTCCATCCATCCATCCATCCACCCATCTACATGGATTAGTTTTAGTTCAAGGGCAGACAGTAACACCATCTAAGGCCATCTGATGGCACCAAGGCTTCACGGAAAAGTGGTTTATGGGTGACAGAATTGGTAAAAAAAAACCAACCCACTGTGATTAGGAGAGAAGGTAGCTTAATGATGGACACCACCATCCTGAGAGCGTCCTACCAAATCTAGGGTAAACCTTTCATTTTCACCTTGTGTACACACCGCTTGACCCAAAAGACAATGGGCGCCAAAAGAAACCAACAGAACAGCCTATTACGACCATGAGCATCGCTGTGATTTCTTTTAGACCCCACTGATGAACAAAACTAAGATCAAAGAAAATGAGGGGAAAAAAAATCAGGTTGCGTGGTTGCACATCCTCCGCACGTGGGCTTTGGATTTCATTATTCAAGTAGGTAACATGGTTAGTGCAAGGAGAATTTTGGAGAAGCTTGTTGGTTGGCAGGAGTGACCCATCCATGAGTCTTGCCTACTAGATGGGAACTTTCTGCATGAATTGTGTCAAGAGGTTGGTGGGACAAAGAGCGAACATGGGTCTTCCTTTAGCAACGTGCAGTCAACTGAAGGAAGACAATTGGTTGAGGACTTTTTATGGGAGCCTCTTGAGTCAAGAAGAGGACCACAAGTTGCCTCTTCCAAAAACAGACCCAGGTCTGCAGGATTCCCAGGTTACTCTAATACACACAAGATATCAAAAAAAGCAAAACTCTTAACATTACCTATGGACCATGTTACGTTCCAGCCTCACCCTCGCAGTCCTTTTTGGTCAGCATCTTGACTCGCAGTCAACCATTTCCTTGCTGCAAAGAAGGAAAGAAGATGGGTAGACATGTATTCTTTAAGCAGATGACACTCAAGGGTGCGTTTTCACAAACACTTGTTTCTAATTACACTCTTATGTACCATGTTTTTTCTTAGACCCCGTTCTTTCATATCTAATTCGAAGCAATAACCCAAAATGCAGGAAATGCGGATCATCAAATCATGCCTCTCAAGAAATCTTTTTTTTTATGCTCGTCCTGGTCCAAGAACAGAGAAGGACCTTGAGCAGGAAAGATGCACCTGAAATTTAGTAGTTCACCATCACCCTATCTTTTCAGAATGAGCATAGAGCTGGAAGGGACCTTGGAGGTCTTCTAGCCCAGCCCCCTGCTCAAACAGGCGATCCTACACCATTTCAGACAAGTGACTGTCCAATCTTTTCTTTAAAACCTTCAGGGATGAAGCACCCATCACTTCTGGAAGCAAACCTGACAAATTGTCCTTGCTGTTAGGAAGTTTCTCTTAATTCCAAGTTGCTTCTCTCCTTGATGAGTTTCCATCCGTTGTTTCTTGACTTCTTCGTAGCTTCTGTGGCTACAACTAATCCTGAGTTGTCTGTTCCATCTTCCCCATCTCTCTTACAAATATTTGCATCTATTTTGTTCATTTACATACTGTACATATGCGTGTTTCCAGTTTACAATCTGGCCCGTGGCAGTTAACAAACCTAACCATCAAGATCAAAAATGAAAGCAAAAAACAAAACAAAAAAACAAACCCCAACTAAAGTATTAACAGCCTGAAAAGTTCTAAAGTCATGAAGACACATCAAAATGCCCCAGAGGATTACGGACTGGTGGGTGAGTGGGTGGGAAGAAGAAGAACGAATAAAAGTGGGCTTTAATATTTTCTTCTTTAAAGCATGACAAAAAAACAAGAAGGAACGGATTCCAGAGGGTAGCCGAGAAGCCTCTTTGCACCGCAAGAAAACCCCGGGGTATAAACATTGCAACGTCTGGCACGACGTCGGTGCAAACTTGTGAATACAGTTGGCTTGCAAAATGGAATTGCCATTCTTCGCTGGGTTGTTTGAATACCGAAGACCCTCCGTGGCCACCCGACCCATTGTCCAGATCGGGAAGGATCATTCCAAAGTCACTTTGGCTGTTAATTTAAAAAAAAAACAGAGGAGGAGAGACTGCTGGCCACTCACCATTGGAGTGCGTGAGATTTCCTTCGCTTTAGATGATAAAGTCAAGATTAATTCAATTTTCTTTTTCTTTCGGGATTGATGGGACAAATAACGGTGGAATTTGGCTTTTATGCGTAGTTCAAGTAGTCCTCGGCTTACGATCACAAGGAAGCCCAACATTTATGTGGTTAAGAAGACCCCAGAAGACCTTCAGCGTCCCTTTCAACTCTATTATTAAGTGAAACATTCGCTGAGTTTTGTCCCATCTTACGATGTTTCTCACCGCCGTTGCTAAGTGAATGACTGCAGTTGTTAAATTAGTAACACAGTTGTTAAGTGAATCCCTCCATTGACTTCGCTTATCAGAAGGTGGCAAAGGGGGGGTCCCATGACCCCTCCCCAGGGACACTGCGACCGTCGTTAAGTGTGAATCAGTCCTCAAGCGTCTGAATTTTGATCATGCGACTGTGGTCGTTAAGTGAGAAGAAGGATGGCAACCTGCTTTTTTGGAATCCCGTTGTAACTTCAAACGGTCACTAAATGAATGGTTGTGAAGTTGAGGACTACCTGTAACGGCCTGGACCTTATTGTGTGCACCAAGGTGGGAAGATGCAAGATCATCCTGGGTTGATGAAGATGAGGGAACTTGCCGAGATGGCCAAATTAACTTCTTTGAACACAGAAAAGAGAATATATATCCATGTTTCTGGCTGACCAGGAACCCCTTGTGGGCTTTTGGCATGAAACAAGAGGGGAAAAAAAAAGAACTTATGGTTTATGGTTCTGATGAATGAACAGAATAGATTGTAGAAAGAAGAGAGTTTTGTTCTAACCGTAAAGAGGTAAATTTATAATAGCATTTATAACTGCTGTAGAGAAGATCAGAAGCTATTTTGCTTTTCTTTCCTTCTCTTTCTTCCCTTCCCACTTCCCTCTTCTTTTTCCTTTTTCTTCCTTCCTTCCTTTAGCCTGCTCCCTCCCTCCTTCCCACTTGCTTTTCTTTTTCTTTTTCTTCCATCCTTCCTTCCTTCCCACTTGCCTGCCTTCCTATCTTCCTTCCTTCCCTCAATCCATCCCTTCTTTTTTTCTTTCTTCTTCTTTCCTTCCTTCCCACTTGCCTGCCTTCCTATCTTCCTTCCATCCCTCAATCCATCCCTTCTTTTTTTCTTTTTTTTCTTTCTTTTTCTTCTTTCCTTCCTTCCCACTTGCTTGCCTTCCTATCTTCCTTCCTTCCCTCAATCCCTCCCTTCTTTCTTTCTTTTTCTTTTTCTTCTTTCCTTCCTTCCCACTTGCCTGCCTTCCCCTATCTTCCTTCCTTCCCTTCCTCCTTTTTTCTTTTTTCTTCTTTCTTCCTTCCCACTTTTCTGCCTATCTTCCTTCCTCTTTTTCTTTCCTTCTTTCCTTTCTTCCTTCCCTTTCTCTTTCGTTCTTTCTCTTTTCTTTCTTTCCTTCCTTCCATCTTCCTCCCTCCCTCCCTCCTTTTCCTCACTTCATATTAGTTCATATTAGATTCTTTTCCTCTTTTTTTTTTTTAAAAAAATCTTATTATACAAAAGTCCCCGCTTTGCTCTGATTCTGTGGGCATTCATTTTCCCACTCAACAAAGCATTGATGTGTGGTGGTGGGGGGGACGCTGAGTTTTTATGTGTTTATAAGCTACCGAAGGCACCGTCAATCTGCGCTAAGCAAATTTTATTGGTCATAAATTCATACGCAGCAGCTTTTTATTGTCCTGGATGCAACAAATAGCTGACCCTTTTAAACTGCCTTTAAAATACTGTGTTTCTTACCAGTGTGCGGGATCTGTTAGCCATCCTTCTCTCTTTTAAATGAGGGGAATTATACACATGTGACTTTTCTTCTAGGGTGGGAACTCAGCTACCAAAAATGGGTTGGAATTGCAAGGAACGGCACCTCTCTGATACCAATTCACAGAAATAACTTGGAATATTTAAAAAAAAAGATTTGTGGATTGAGATAAATAAATACATATGTCCCTAGATACACAAATGATATCTGAAGCCATTTGGGTTTTCCTTCTGTTGGTTTCTTGCGTTCAAAATTTTGGCTTGGGACAGGTTAGATGTGAACCCCTAATTTTTGGGGGACAGCAGCTTTGAAGAAAAGATGACAAAACTCTTAGGACTTGAGAGAGAAATCTCTCCTCGTTTTAACTGAAAACATGGATGGGTTAATTTAGGAATAGAATCTCATCATTACTCTATTGGCGTCTTAAATTGAAGCTCCAAAACCATTACAACAATCATTGATTTTTTTTTTAAGTAGGATATTATTTAACACCCAGCAGCCCTTCACTAACAAAGCTAAGTTGCTATTTTTATAATAAAGTTGTCTTGTTTAGGTTATATTGGAGGGGAAATTTTATGTTTATTATGGACGAATGGTTTTTTAAAAGAAATATACACCTCAGTGAGGTGAAGATAGATAAATTACATGTAGAGTAACTAAGGGTTATGATATGGGTTTAAAATGCATTATGCAGATTATGAATTATTTATAGTTTTTAATTTGGAAATGCTTATATTGTTAATTTTTTTTTGTATTTGAGTTAAAGCAGTGGTTCTCAACCTTTTTAATGCTGTGACCCCCAACTGGTCGTAAGTCGAGGACTACTCAACCGGTCGTAAGTCGAAGACTACTCAACTGGTGCAGCACTGTTTGCAGAAGGGGACTTTTGGCGGGCTCAGCAGGGCAGAGACAGCCTGGACAATTCCTATTGGCTTTGGAAAGCCAATAGAATTAGACTCTATTCAAGAGAGTCTATTCTATTGGCTTTCAAAAGCCAATAGAATAAAAGGGAGTAGCGCAGCTGAGGAAAAGGGGAAAAAAATGGCGGACTGCGCTGTTTGGCGACCCCCGTGAAATGGTCGTTCCACCCCAAATGGGGTCCCGACCCACAGGTGGAGAACCACTGAGTTAAAGTATATTATCGATTTTATTATTTGTATAGTTGGATAAGTTTATTTAGAATTTGTTTGTTTATTTGTAACCCTGTAACCAGCTCTGGGAAGTGAGGGGGGGAAGGGAGGGAGGGGGTTATTTTAGGGGGGGGGATATTGTTTAAAACTTGTATAAAACTTTTCAATTTAATAAATAAATAAATAAATAAAGTTGTCTTGTTCAGGATATTCCACGCAGAAGGAATTGCTCTCCAAAGCCACACATCCTTAAGGTCGCTCAACTTCCCCCCCCCCCCCCCCCGGCCGTTTTCTCGGCACCCAGGCTTCAACATCGGAGCATGGGGCAGATACGAACAGGAGAGGGCGCTCCAGGCCTAGATGAAAACAGAGCTAGAATAGAATAACAACTTTATTGTCACTTTTGAACGGACACTAATCGGCACACGTTTAAATGAAATTTCGTTGCGTTCAGCCCTCAAAGGGTCACCACCTCCGACATACACTACACAAACATGACAAAAATAAATAAATACAGAATTATGCATGTACCCACTCGCTGCAGGATTCTGCCCCTGCCCCCAACAAATCTAAGAAAAGGAAAAGTTCACCATAAAAAAACCCCCCAGCAATGAACTAAAAAGGGTGTTTATAAATAGTTCGCCTTCCAGAGCCTTGCTTGATTTGCTCGGCCGAGCCTATTGTTTCAGGGACAGGATACCTGGGAATAATTCCTGCTGTGGAAGAGCGAACCAAGGTTCATGTTGTTCTAGAATAGAATAGAATAGAATAGAATAGAATAGAGATGGAATGGAATGGAATGAATAGAATAGAACAGAACAGAACAATGAAAGAACAGAGTAGAGTAGAGTAGAGTAGAGTAGAATAGAATAGAATAGAATAGAATAGAATAGAATAGAATAGAATA